ATATCTTTTAGAATTATTACTCCGAGATTGCAATGAAAGGATTTGAAACTTAAATCTCATCAAAGTTCTCAGCACTCGTTACTAATTAAGCAAACCCTAACAAATTAATTTTAGATAACTTGCTACATGACATAAAGAGTTGGGAGGAGTGTGCAAAGAAGAGTTTTGCTATATATATATTTTTTGCATTTAAATTATAACTACGAGTCTGGAATGGCAATGTTTGTTTGCCCTATGGAAAAAAATTTAGTGGTATTTTAGAATTTACCTATTTCAATACTACAATATTAAGAGTAAAATTTGGCATCACACTTATAAGGTAAGATTTTTTTTTTTTTGGGGGGGATTCACTTTCAAGTTTTTTTCCATAGATTGTGTTTGGTATTTGGAATGTTTCCCTCACCTAGGAAAGTTTAGGAGTATTTCAATATTTGTACGTTTAACGCTATAATCACTAAAAGATGAATGTGATATTTTTATCATTTATTTTTTTAACATAATCTCTCAGTAGGATTTTTTGTTTTTATGTTTTTAAATAAAAAATATTATTTATTTATTTTTTTAATAAAAATGCTTAATTATAATAATTTATAATATAATAAATTTATAAGATAATATATTATTATATAATTGATTTTTTTTTATTTAAGTATTTATTCATAATATCATAATATACTTATTTAATATTATATAAAGCTATAAAATTATAATTTTATATAACCATAACTACAATATTTTTTTTCTCCTTTAGGGGGGTGATAGATCACGGTATTTAGTGTTGTCTTTCATGTAATGTATAATTGTATAATAGTAGTTCATGTATAAATGATTTTAACTATTAAATGACTTTTCTTCTACCATTGGTGTTTAGATTTTTTAGTGTAACTAATTCTATAGCTATTTGTAAACAGAGAGTTATTGTGCCGTTTGAATTCTAAATTACATTAAGTTATTAGACTAAAATTGTTAAATGAAGTATGAGTTTTTTAATATTTTGTATCTTCTCTTATTTAATAGTTTATATAATTTTCATCTATAAATGAAATTTTATTCTACAATTT